CAGTTCATTTCTTTGCAGGGTGGCTTGGGAGAGAAAAGTTCTGAAGTACAGAGCTACCTGGGCTGTTTCATGTGAAAGAAGACAGTGTGGCCACAAGACTGATGAGAAGTAAACAGACTTGGGAAATGGGGAGGATGTCAAGTTAATGAAATGTAGTGACTGGATGTGGGGAAGGAAAGAGATGGTCTGGATCACTTGCAGATTTCTGGTTTGGGAAGCTGGGTGTTAACACCTACTAGCACAATAGTCTCAGGTGGCAAAAGACTTGGTTAGGGTCTAAGGGAAGGGTGAGAGAGGTAAGGAATTCAATTTTGACCTGTTGCATCAGAGAAGGCTCTGGACAACCAATTGAATAGGTTTGGAATCTTAGGAAAGAAATCTGGGCTAAAAATAAAGATTTGTGATTCATCAGCAACTAATTAGTCTCAGTGACTCTTCTGATAATTCAAACCTTGTAAGTGGTGGAAGTAAGTCAAGGAGAATACACAACGAGAAGACTAGTAAGAAACATGGGGAACTCCAAGAGCTGGGCAAGGTACCACTCACAGGAAGCCAAGTGCAGTGGTTGAAGAAGTGGGAGGAAATTTGAGGGTGCCAAAGACAGAGTAAGAGGTCACCATCAGCAGAGATAGTGCTTCCTGTGCCAGGGGACATGGCTGAGCCCACACAGGGTACAAGCGACAAAGTCAGATCTCTACAGAGCTCAGCAGTCTACCTAGCAACCTTGTTTATTTGGTTCAATGTTTGAGATCATCTATCTTTTAACTCTTAAATAGTAAACTTACATTTTGTGTTCTGAGTGCATGGGCTAGAATGAAAAGAGTTTTTCTTTGTTCACTGGTAAACTGTGTCCACTGATCAACCATTTACTTCATCTGTTAAATATAGGTGATGGTACTCCCAGATAGGATAGGAGTATGAGAAATTAATGAATAGACATACATAGAGTACTGAGCCTAACACACATGGGCATTCAGTGAGTGAGGTTCTCTTTCTTTCTCTGTCTGTCTCTCTCCCTCTCTCTTTCTCTCCTTTTCCCTCCCTCTCTCTCTTGTCTCCCTCCATCTTTCTTCCTCCATTCCTTCCTCTCTCCCTGTCTCCCTCTTACCCTCTCTTTCCCTCCCCTCTCCCCCTTTCCCTCTCTCTTTCCCTTCCCCTTTCTCCCCCTCCCTCCCTCTTTTTCCCACCTCCCTCTCTTCCCCTCCCTCCCTTCCTTTCTCTTCCTCCTTTCTTTCCTCTCTCTCTTCTCTCTCCCTCCCTTTTCTTCCCTCCCTCCCTCCCTCCCTTTCTTTCCCTCTCTTCCCCTCCCTCCCACCTCCCTCTCTCTTCTGCCTCCCTCCCTCTGTTCCTCCCTCCTCCTCCCTCCTTTCCCCTCTCCTTTCACCTCTCTCTCTCTCTCTCTCTTTCTCTCTCTCCTTGTCCTCCTTCTCTCTCCCTTGCTCCCTTCTCCTGTCTTTTTTCTTAATAGAGAATTTAGGCCTTGTAGAATTCACCTGCGCTGTTTGGAACTCAAGTTTTTTATATTGCAGATTTACATTTAGAAAAAAAATTTAATTATTGATTGAATTATGCTGTTAGAATTAGGCTCATAACAAATAGGAACACTGTTTGGTAAACTTACAAACAAAATAAAGCCAAAAATTGTACTTGTTATTCCCTTGTTTAATTTGGCCTTCTGTTTGAAATTAATTAGACTTTTGGATAACTATGTTAAACTTTGTCACTTCCTTTTAAAATTGTTTAAGGATATTGAAGAACATCTCAGAGGGATTCTGAAACTAATCTGATTCTGGTAGTAGAGATTCCATTAGTAATCAATTGTAAAACTGACGAATCTTTTACCCAGGTAGCTTATTGATTATTGATGCAGTTACTGTATGTGACAGATTATACAAAGGATAGCAGCAAAATATACATTTTATAACTGCAACTCTATCTGGAAAATAACTAAAGCAAAAAAGGCTGGGGGTGTGGTTCTAGTGCTAGAGCACCTGCCTAGCAAGCATGAGGTCCTGAGTTCAAACTCCAATACCACAAAGAAAATTAGGGCCTTTTATTGGTTATTGCTACTGCTTGTTTGTCTTTTCCTTGGGTAGTAGAAGTCTTGTCTTTGTCATCACTGATTATTTTACCACTGAACCAATTTGGAGAGAATCTCTGTAAAGGAGGAATATATTATTAAAAAGACTGAGGACTAATATACAAAATCAGCTTGCTTTATAGTTTATTAATTGCTGTCCCATCTGTTTTCTCATGTGAATCTTAAAGCAGTCCTCTGAGTAGAACCCATCCTCCTTTACTATTGGGCAGCATAAGCCACCATAGAATTGCCTTGTTGGGGCCATTCACTAAGGGAATGCTAGTGGTGAGGCATCTGGAACTGACTCCTCCATGTGCCTTGCAAATATCCCTGTGCAGCACAGGCTGGTGGCCCAGCCATACTGCTCAGTGCCAGGAGATACTTCCCACGCCTTAGGTTTTACCCCTGACCCATGGAGAATGCTGTGTGCGCAGTGGCCTATGTGTTAAGGCCTAGTGCCTCAATGATGGCCACTGAGGATAGCTTGTACAGTGTACCCAAACCAGGGTTTGGTTACTACCCTCGGTGGTGTGTCCTTGGTGATGAATTACTTGGCTCTGTGGAATACAAAATTCTCCATTAATGCACACACAGATCAAGCCTGGTATGTTAGCAGCAGAAAACACTCTTGGACTTGGAAGAGTTATAAAAAGGAAAATGAAAACTAACTGACAGCTTTAGAGAAACTGTTAAGTGGCATACTAAATGTCATCATCATGCCAATCATGGCACAAAGAGATGTATGTAGATTGCTTAAAAATTTTCACAATGATTACAAACATATATGTAGTTTGCCAGTTGATTTGGCACAGGCATAAAATGAAAGTGAAACCATTTTTATTTATTTTGTGAGGTAAATAAATAAAACTGGAAACAGGTCAATTTCATGCATGTAAGGTTTTATAGTAGGGAAAAAAAATGCACTGCATTTGTTCTGACCCCTTACATTTGAGGTTATTTGTTTTCAGACTTCACCCCAAGCTCTAGTTTCAGACAACACTATAATTAATTTGTTAGATAAAATGTAAGCATATTTTGTTTGTTTTGATTTCTAGGACTATGGCAAAGTAGCAGCTGAACTTACTAACATATTGTACATAGCAGTTAGTTAAAGAAAAGCATTAACTTCAGGAGAACACTACCACTGCTGTTGCTTTGTATCAGTATAAAAAGGCAGTAATTTTTTTGACAGTCACTGATTGGAAAGTTGCTTGCAGCCTTTCAGAAGCAAGGGGGTACATGCTGTGGATCAATAACCGGCAAATTTCCCATTAAAAAGAATACCTGAGCAATGTTCCAAATAGCCACTGGCATCTTAATTTTCCATGGAAACCTCAAATACTTGTGTGCTGAGGACAAGTCATTTTCGGACAATTTTTCCAGACTACTTGTTAACAGTTATTGCTGTCCCAAAAGGTTGGCAGCCTACATGATTGATATTTCATTTACTTGTCATCACTGTGTGAGTGATGGCAAGGGCTATATTTCTGTGGTTTTGAGGAACAGTCTCCTGAAAGATGCTGCCGTGGAATGTGTTCTAGAGAGTATTTTGCACATATTAATGCTGTATGTGTTTAGGTTTTCCTTAGAAAGACAGGATTGCTTTTCTTTACAGTTTGGAAGCCTTTGGAGAGCAGGATACACTTATGTTAGTCCATAGATATAAAAAATTCACCTTTACCTTTATTCATCTTTAGTGATAAAAGCCTTAGACTTGTTAACTTGTGATTCTCAAGATGATGTAAAATTTTATAGCTCCCCTTTATTTCTAAGAGAAAAAATGGATCTTGTTATAACTTTAATGTATATAAAACAAATAGGAAGATTATCTATGCATCCATATCTTCTAAAAAGAAACTTTTTTAGACTCAGAAAATATGATAACCAAGGAGAAATTTCCTGGAAATGTAATGTGTGTTTTAAATATAAAAATGGCAAGGATGAGAGAGAAATTCTGCTCTTTGACAGGCCCTCAAGACACAAAAGATTCCGTATGGATCTTTTTCTACTATGAGCATCTTTTTCTTGTCCGTATTAAAAGTAGTGACAGGTCTGGGACTGTGACTCAGTTGTAGAGTACTTGCCTATCACTCCTGAGGCAGTGGGTTTGATCCCCAGCACTAAAAGACAAGAAAAAGAAAAAGAATAAAGAAAAGCACTGACAGCACACAAGCTGTCTCCAAGTTAGATGGATCCGTGCATGCTAGGGAAATAGGGATCAGGCCACAGTAAACTGCCTAGTGCTTTGTGTGTATGAAGGACAATGGAAGCTTTTTTACTTTGAACTGTTTGTTGTGCCCAGAATTTTACAGTGAAATTTGATCCATTTTAAAGTGTTTATAAGACTAATGTTTGCATGAAACTAGGCTACCTTTTTTTCATACTGAGCCTGTCACCTTTGGCTGAGTTATATCTTGTTCACTGGTTCCACAATCTCTGTGACTTAGATTTCCATTATCAGTGTTTTATACATAACTGTGCATAATGTCCTATTACTTAACATGTTTTATACATAATTGTGCATAATGTTCTATTACCTAACATGTAGGTGAAACTTCTTCATTTTGCTTTGCAAAATTCAGCCAAAAAGGACTAGGGGCAGTTTGAGAAATTTCCACTAAAATACTTTTGTCATTTTAAATATAATTTAAAATATTTCTTAACTACTAATATGTAGTCTTAATCAATACTTTTAATCTTAAAGATAAATGGCAGTATGGAGGACAATAGTCTACTGGACTCTCAGTCCTGAGTATTATTCATTGTAGTCATTTTGATGTGGAAATATGGGAAAAGTGTTCTCAAGGCTGATGTGTGTATACCAACAGTTTACAAAAGTACTATGAGTTAAACAACCCGTAAGTGTCTGTTCCAGTATTCATACTTTACTGAGTAATCTCTTTCTATAATCTCTTTGCAGTATTATTCCACAGTAATGGAACAGCAAGTAAATGGACAGTTAATAGAGCCTCTGCAAATATTTCCAAGAGGTAATGTTGAACAAATTCTAATCAACAGTGATTATTTCAGTAAACTGTTTCATCAACAGTTATGTTTTTCCAAAGGTTTAAATGCACATAACATGATGTTTAGCTCTTAATTTGAAAAAAAAAAAAAAAGATGTATTCATTATCGTGGGAATTGCAGGCTATATTATAGCTATAGCAGATAAAATATCCAATTTACTAGAGTAAATTAAACTAACTAGATTGTTTCTTGTTTTTCAAGTGCATACTTACATTCGCTTAAAGAACTTTTTGGGGTCCACATGGTTGCTAAATGAAGGCAAATAGATGACTTTCATTCTGGATATTTATAAATTGTGGCTTGGGATGTTGGCCAAAGCTACTGTTGAGGAGAAATCTTTAAGTTGGTATAGAAACTGAGATGTACAGAGGGGTTTCAGGAGAGAAATTTGGGTAAAATGTTTTTGTATTTATTTATTTATTTATGTAGTGGTACTGGGGTTTGAATTCAGGGCTTCAAGCTTGCTAGGCAGGCACTTTATCACTTGAGCCCTCTACTAACCCTTTTTTTTTTCTTTTATTATTCATATGTGCATACAAGGCTTGGGTCATTTCTCCCCCCTGCCCCCACCCCCTCCCTTACCACCCACTCCACCCCCTCCTTCTCCCCCTCCCCCTCAATACCCAGCAGAAACTATTTTGCCCTTATTTTTGTTGTAGAGAGAGTATAAGCAATAACAGGAAGGGACAAGGGTTTTTGCTGGTTGAGATAAGGATAGCTATACAGGGCATTGACTCACATTGATTTCCTGTGCGTGGGTGTTACCTTCTAGGTTAATTCTTTTGATCTAACCTTTTCTCTAGTACCTGTTACCCTTTCCTATTGGCCTCAGTTGCTTTTAAGGTATCTGCTTTAGGTCTCTGCGTGTTTAAGGGCCAACCAAATGCTAAGCTGTTTTTAGGTGTCTTAACCTATCCTCACCCTCCCTTGTTGCTCTCCGCTTTTATCATTGTGCTCTAGTCTAATCCCATTGTTGTGTTGCCTTGATCTAATGTCCACATGATGAGGGAAACATACGATTTTTGGTCTTTGGGCCAGGCTAACCTCACTCAGAATATGTTCTCCAATTTCCATCCATTACCAGCGAATGATAACATTTTGTTCTTCCATTGTGTATAGATACCACATTTTCTTAATCCATTCGTCAGTGGGGCATCTTGGCTGCTTCCATAACTTGGCTATTGTGAATAGTGCTGCAATAAACATGGGTGTGCAGGTGCCTCTGGAGTAACCTGTGTCACAGTCTTTTGGGTATATCCCCAAGAGTGGTATTGCTGGATCAAATGGTAGATCGATGCTAGCTTTTTAAGTAGCCTCCAAATTTTTTCCAGAGGGAGAACATACGTTTTTGGTCTTTTGGGCCAGGCTAACTCTCACTCAGAATGATGTTCTCCATCCATCCTCTACCAGCGTAATGATAACATTTTGTTCTTCTTCATGCTGCATAAAATTCCATGTGTATAGATACCGCATTTCTTAATCCATTCGTCAGTGGTGGCATCTTGGCTGCTTCCTATAACTTGGCTATTGTGAATAGTGCTGCATAAACATGGGTGTGCAGGTGCCTCTGGAGTAACCTGTGTCACAGTCTTTTGGTATATCTCCCCAAGAGTGGTATTGCTGGATCAAATGGTAGATCGATGGCTAACTTTTTAAGTAGCCTCCAAATCTTTTTCCAGAGTGGTTGTACTAGTCTACATTCTCACCAACAGTGTAAGAGGGTTCCTTTTTCCCCGCATCCTTGCCAACACCTGTTGTTGGTGGTGTTGCTGATGATGGCTATTCTAACAGGGGTGAGGTGGAATCTTAGCATGGTACTAACCCTTTTTTTGGTGTGTGTGTATGTGTTGGCTGTTTTTGAAATATGGTCTCGAGAACTATTTTTGTCCCAGGCTGGCTTCAAACTGTGATCCTCCTGGACTCTGCCTCCTGAGTAGCTAATATTACAGGTATGAGCCACCTGCACCTGGCTCTGGGTAGAATGTTTGATGCTTTGGTTTTGGGCAGGGGTATTTTCTAAATAACTGCAGATTCTTCTTAAATGAAAATTTGATTGTTAAATCTCCAAAAATACAAGCCCGATGAGCGTAAGTCTCAGTGAACCGCCTGGTCAAATATTGTTCCCCTTTTAGATTTGGCAGTACTGGCCTTGTATTAGATACGATAGTTCAACTGTGCAGAAGTGTTTCCTCAAAATTTGAATACTGGTGAAAACAACAGCTTAATTATATAAATCATTAAGGCTTCAACTATTGTACATTGGCCCTGTTGAAATCATGTTTTCTAAGCCATGGAATAGATAAGGAAATTCTCCAAGTGACTCTTCTAGAAGTAACTTAATTGGAATAATTAAAAGTTAAACTTACCTTCATTAACTAATATTGTACAAATAATTGTGGTATGAGTTTTCCAATTAAACATTCTAGACTTTTATTACCTGTAACTCTCTGAAGTTTGAATGCTTCAATTAACCAGTAATAAAGTGATAAAGTCTCCAAAGGCAGCTGGCTTGGCCAGCCCACAAGAAGAGTTGGTTCAAGACTAACACTGTTCTTCTAGTGTTTGTGTGGCCAGTAGAATCAGGGGTGTTTATTATGTTATTAATAATAACTTATTAAAGTGCTAAGCAAGTGAATAAAATTGGGCCATTTAAACCAGTGATTGTCTGAAAGAAGGATTATGATTAATCCAGTACTGTTTATTTGAAGACTAAACACCAAAACAGAAAAAGAGGAGAGGGGTAAGATTGGTGGGCCGGGGGGGAGTGAGGAGTAGGAAGGAGAGGGGGTTGTCATTTCTGTGTGTTAGGGTACTATCAAGGGCGCAGGCTATTTGTAAACGTTCTGTGATTGCAGAATTTCAGCAAATTTCAGTTGTTTTTCCACAAGGAATAGTTTAGATAGTTGAAAATTTTCGTTAATTTCTGCAGAACTTTGTTACAGCAAGCACAAGAACTGCATCCTGAAGAATTATAGTTCCAGTGCTGTGTAGCTTTGTTTTTCTTTTCAATAAAATATGAAATCTTTTCAAGTTAGTTGTTTTTTTTTTTTCATTTTCTGAGCTATTCTGTCAATTTCATTGCCCATACCATTGTGCTGCTCCTGTGGTAATAACAACTGATTCAAATATTTGCTCTGCTCAGACGTATTTAAATATCTTGCTCTCTATGTTATCATTTCTGTTTCTTTCAGTATTTCTGCCTATTAGGTTTTATTGCTTCCACTTTATGGATGAGACTGTTGAGGTTCAGAGAAGTTAAGTAACTTCAGAGTAACAGAGCTTATGAGTGGTTAATATGCCCTTTGAATATGAATTTTGTTCAAATTATAATTTGCTTGCAGGCATGTAAATTAAATTTAGTGGAGTATGTGTCAGGATGGTTTGAAGGGTTTGGGGAGAGATAGTATGGTGTCAAAAGAGGATACTGTAAAGGAGAAAATACGAGATGTTAGTAGCATAAAACATTGCAGCTTAATAAGTTATTAAATATAGCCTTTCCAAGCCAAATTAGAGTTTAAAAACATGAAACTCAGTTTCCCTACCTGTGGGTTTCCCTACTGGTGGGTTTTTGTGTGCTGCAGTACAGCTCTTTAATTTCTTATAGTCTTCTTCTTTTACCTCTGTCTACATGGTATCACATGTAGATAAGTGAGATTATGAACTTTATACAATGAGAACATAGAAACATTGGGCATATTACCTGGGTCTACTTCGTGGTTAAGAGGCCCTCAGATCTTACATTCTATGGTCAGGCCACATGTTAAAAAGAATTCTTAGATCAAACAGGTTGGCAGGGCAGTAGAAAATGATTCTCTTCTGGTAACATGTTAGGTAGTACACTACTCCCAGTTTGTGGGCAAGTCTTCCCTATAGTTCAGAGATGTGTTAAATGAGTATGAAAATTGGCTAGCATTATAGTTACTTATGCCACCTTAGCTTTAGGAAATACGAGGTTACTGGGATTTTGAATGCTGTTCAGATCTGTAGTTACAAAGTTTTGAGAATGCAGTGGGAGCTATGCGGTGTAAGGTCAGGGATGAGTTGGTGCTTGTTTCAAATTCCACACTTTGCCACTTTCTTCATGCATATGCTGGTGCTTTAGTGGAGACATCCTGAAGTGCTGTCTCAGGAAACAGTGGTCGTCCTCAAGGGCCAGGCATCGAATGTATGTGGCTGTGTTTTGTTCTTAAAGTTAACTTCCATTTTAAGGAAGAAGATGTGTAGTCTTAATTTTAATATATCTTAAAGAGATAAGTAAAAACCCTTTACTCAGATTTAGATTTTTTTTTTAGGAAAATAAGATAATGAATTTGAATTTACTTGAAATACACAAAATAAAAGCAACTCATACTCTGTCATTATTAATAAGCAGCTCTATTTCTTGTTAGAAACAGAGGAAAAATACATGTGCATGTATCTGAGAGAGGGGAGAAAAAAAATCAAAGTAATCCTTCCTTAACCAATCAATCAAAATTGACAGCCCCTTAACATAAAATTTGTAGGGCACTATAGTTTTCAAATGAAAGCAGTCTATAATACAGGCAGGAAGCTTTTGATTTTTAACATTTGATGAAGAACTATTTGCTGAGTTGGAAAAGTACTAACTTGCAAGTCAAGATTATATTAGGAAATAGACTTAAATATTAGCACATACCAGATTTACAAGAAATTTAATGAAATTATTTATCTGTATTTTAATTAATTTGACTTATGGCAAACTAGTATTCAAACTCAAATATTCCATTTTAGAGTTTATAGTAATCTTATCAACATTAAAAGATCTTTTTCCCATCCTTCCTCTAAAACAAAACAAAATCCAAAAGACTTAGCTATTTTCAAAGTAGTTTAACTGATAGCAGATATACAATTTAGCGGAGTGAGGAAAGACGGCAGACATTTGAATTATTAAAGAACTCTAATAATTTTAGCTCAGTTAACTTGATTTTTCTATGTGTTCAACAGAAATTGGAATTTACCCGAAGTGGTGTCAGAAAGCTCTTTGCATTTATAAATGCTCACTCCTGCAAGTTAAAACCCCGTTTTGTAATTCCCACTTTGGGTCTTGGGAGCCACTTTTCAATCATTTCTCTCTGCTAATTTTGGTGTCACCCTCATTTCTTTTAAACGATTCATTTTGAGCAAATTTGTAAATGGCCCTGATGTGTTCTACAATTTAGTCAATTACTGTTTCAGCCTGCAAGCCTCCTGGGGAACGGAACATACATGGCCTGAAGGTACGAATTTCAATAATTGTTTCAGTAAAGTTAGATGGATTTGTAATGCTGTGTTCCACTTATTGAAATGTCAAATAAAACTGCACTTTCTCAAGCTCTGACAAGCGATTTCTTTCTTTTTTTTTTTAAATGGGAAGTGGAGGGGGATTCATCTGTACTATTTGCTTACTATGCGTATGTTTGGATGCTGTGGTTTTGGTGCTGTATTTTTGATTATTTGAAATTGTTTTGTTGGTCAGTTTCTTCAGAAAGATCCTTAGTCTCATAATGATTTATTTGACTGAGAATGGAGGCTTCATTTCAGTGATTAATTAAGCACATGCATATTGCACCCAGAATACCTCCCTTTTCTTTTGACATATTTATGCTAGAAACATATATCTAGTTAATGTCTTTTCATTGTTCTGTGTATTTTGAATTCTGGATTTCTGCTTAAGGCATTACATCTGAAAAAATGGCTATTTTATTAGGTTCAAGTATTTTGTAATTAATTATTTGGACCTCATTTTCTAGTGAATAAGAAATAGTCTACCATGTTTTGCTTAGCTGTAGAGCTGGAAGGATATGATACCTTGAGGTTCACTACTAACCCCTAGATATGTTCTTAATGTACTTTTATGAGCTTATTGTTTTTATATGTGTTCTAGATAATGAATTAAAAATTTACTCTATCAATCTCAGTTAAGAATTTAAATAATGGTAGGATTAGAGAACTATGTAATATGCAAATTGTACAGTTCTGTAACCTATATACTGAACAGACTCCAACCATGGGTCTTTTTAGCAATAAGCTAATTAACCTTCATAGTGAAAAGAGAAATTTGTGGCAAATTATAGGTTAATTGGAACTGTGTCCTCAGAATATGAGACTGATCAAGTTTCTTTCTTTACTTATAGGTGAATACCCGGACTGGACCCTCTCAGCATACTAGCCCATCAGTCTCAGATACACTTCCAAGCAATAGGTGAGAGCAAGCAAGTGAGGGATGCCCTGGCAGAATTACTTACAAAGGTGGCAGAGGAAAAAAAAAAAAAACAAAGGTGGCAGAGGGTAGGATGGAGAAAAGACTCTTTTCTGTAAGACCAAAAAATGTGTATTTGGCTAAAAGAAATTGACCAGCTAGATAACCATAGCTACATATTGACTGAAGAGAAAGGACCCCATATAGAAAGGTGAAATTAGGCACTTTAGATTATTAATTTGGTTTTGTGGAATTGTTTTCAGTTTCCAAGTTACATGGAAAATTTAGTGCCCATTTTGTGCGTTGATCTGGTTTGCAAATTACTAATTTTTTTCTTGCTTGCTTATCTTTTGGCAGTGTTATTGTCTACTGGCATCTTCACCAGAAAAAGGCAAGGGAAAAATAGGATGGTGACATTTAAATAGGCCAGCCATGCTACTCATCAGCGGCATCTTTGGTTGGATAGGAGATTTAAGCTAGTTTAGACTAATGTTGCCACGTACTGGGATGGACACTAAAGATTTGAGCCCTTTGCAGTCTTACAAACCTGAGAACCTACTGCCAGACTCCACAGTCTTCAACCTGCTTTGTTTTGGTTGTGCGTTTAGTTATTTAGCCAAAAGCATCATGTACTTGAGGTGACACTGGGAAGGTAATTGCTCCATATATGTAGTTTCACACTGGTGACTGAAAAGCCAACATTGAGCCAGAACCTTTCTATTCTGTGTCACAGGCCCTTTGGTTTGGGGCTTTCCTTGGTGTGTATCCAGTCCTTTATGGCCTGAGATGCAGCTTAGGCTTCTTACCTCTCTCTATTGCCTTCTCCTTTCATTACAGTTTTGGTTCTTTGGCCCACTTTACTATAGGAATTTAGTCTCTCTTCTGACTCTTTCTTTCTTTCTTTGTCCCCTTAACCAAAGTCACTTCCTGTTTATTTTGTTTTATTTATTTATTCATTGTTGTTATTATTTGCAGTACTGGGGTTTGAACTCAAGGCCTTTCACTTGTTAGTCAGGTGTTCTGCCACTTGAACCATGCCCCCAAGGCCTTTTTGCTTTAGATATTTTTCAGATAGGGTCTCACATTTTTTGCCTGGGGCCTGCCTCAGACATGGATCCTTCTATACATCTCCCATACAGCTGGAATTAGAGGTACACACCACCTCACCCAGCCCCTTATTATTCTATTTATGGTATCAGTATATCTGTTGATCAGCCTTCCTGATATGAACACATGACTCTTAAATGGTGACACCTTATTGATTTCATAGTAGAATATAGTTAGCTATTTAGTCAGCAATAGCATCTGCCTGTGGTCATGCTAGGGGTTGTTTCTGTTCTCCACAGAGTGGTTGGCCCTGTTGGACTGTGCTTTGCAGCTGCCCTCTCTCCATGCTGCCTGGATTTGTGAGCCACAGTTCTGCAGAGGAGAAGTATGGGGGCAGAGGGCCACTTGGTACATGGAGCTCCAAGAAGGCAGGGCATTTCATTGGTATCACTGCTTCCAGAAAAGTAGTTGTTCACACAGACTGATTGTGAGCTCTGAGAAAGAATGAGGACTTCCTCTGGCATTGGTCAAGTTTCATTATGGAACAAAAAGCCAGATTGAGTTGAGGTGATAGCAAGATGAGAAGCAGGATAGCTTTTCAGTTCTTTCACATCTTTTTAATAATGTGGGAATTGGCTTGGTTATTAAAATTATGTACTTTCATGGAGTATTATAAGATCATTGGGTTGAACTGAAGTTCAGAGACCACCTGATAATGTAGAGGTTCTCATCTTCACTTATAGATGTGACAGCCTCCCAAACAGTAATAATAGTATTGCTTCCTGTTATGGGAGGAATGTTATTTGAAGAAGTCCTATAGTTGATTTTAATATCTTACCCTATGTTAGCCATATCCTGTACCCCAGGCAGGTAACTAATCAACAGGTATTTATTGACTGTCTCTTATTCATTAGGTGCTGTCCTATGTACTATGAATACAATGAGTTCCTTATCCTCTGAAGTTCACTATCTAATGGGTGTGTGAACAAAAAGAAGAGTATACAATTCCACCTTACAGTTAATGTTGTGAAGAGAACAAGTGGGATGCAAAGAGAGAGACCACTACATGGGAATGTTTAGAGTTAGCCTTTCCCTGCTTGGGAAAGACTCCCTGGGGGGTGGTGATATTTTCATACAGATCTAAAGGATAAGGAGGACTAGTTATGTCAAGATGCAGAGGAAAATCTATAAGAGAAGTCCCTAAGGAGCTCAACATGTTTTTAAGTAGGCCAGAGCATGGGGAAGGGATTCTGGGTAAGGGCATGGGTGTAAGAAGAGTAGGAGAGAGCAACTGGAGTGGTAGGAGGTAAGAATGCAGGCAGGAGTCAGATCATGCAGGGCCTGGAAGGTCCAGCAGTGTTTGACCTTTCCTATTGGCAGCAGAATGACATGCTAGCCCAGGGTTTTTAAACAGATCTTCTTGCTGTCATGTGGAGGGATATGAGAAACACCAATCTAATCCTGCCCTTTTTTGAAGCCTGGCTCCCTCTTCTTGCCAAATGGGCACCAAGGCTCTTCTGAATACCCTTGAATGGGAATGTACTTTATTGGCTAAGACAGTCCCTTTTGTTTTCATCTAGCCACCACTTAAACAGTTCTTTTTTTAGGTTAGGTGGGATTTTTCTCCTTTTAGTACCCACCTGTAAAGACTTGGTTTTGCCTTCAAAACATGGCTGTACCCTCTTTCAGGTGATAGCTTTTCTAGTTTTCTTCTCCCAGAAGTCTCAGTAAATTCTCCCACATCTACAAACTCCAGATATTCTCATCATCCTTAACTGTTTCCTGGGCCCACATATGTAAGTTCTGCCTTCTCAGGAGTTCTGCATCTGTTCCATTTGCAGTGTCCCTTTGTTGCACAGGTGCTCCAGGCTCTCCAGGTCACTTCCACAGCCTCCTGGTACCTTTTCCCTTGAGGTTTGCCCATTGTAGTCTCTCCTTCACTGCAGTTGGAACAGTCTTGCTAATTGTATTAGTCAGCTCTTTCTTACTATAATGAAATACCTGAGGTAGCCCAACATTATTAAGTTAAGAGGTTTATTTAGCTCACAGTTTTGGAGGTTGAAAGTCCCAAATGGCCTGGCAGAGGCTCTAGTGAGGGCTCCCCATTGCCTACTTGTTACCATGGTGAATTGCAACAGTGGGAGCATGTGTGGGAGTGATTGCCTGTGTCTTGATGGAGGTTGCCAGAGAGCCCTGTAATCTCCAGCTGACCAAAGACCTCCCATTAGGCATCACCTTTTTTTTTGGCGGGGGTGGTGGGGGCCAATACTGTGGTTTGAACTTAGGGCCTCATGCTTGCTAGGCAAGTGCTCTACCACTTGAACTACTTACTCTGCCAGCCCTTTTTTGGGTTGGTTATTCTCAAGATAGGTTCTCAGGAACTGTTTGCCTGGGCTGGCTTCAAACCTCGGTATTCCTGATCTCTTCCTTCTGATCTTTGCCTCCCAAGTAGCTAGGATTATAGGAGTCATAGACTCTACCTTTTAAAGGTCCACACTAAGCTTTAACATTGCCACACTAAGCTTCTTACACATGGACCCTTGGGGGATAAACCAACTGCAAACCATAGCAGTTCTAAGCCATCATCCCATTTTAAAACCCTAGTGCTCTCTATGCCTTGAGGATGAAGCGTGACCTCCACATGTAGTGGTGGTAACCCTACCAGTATGGGTGCTCTGTGTACTCCAGTTTGCAGACATATACATGGTGCGCTGAGTGGATGTTTGCTCTCACTGTTGGGTCTACACTTCTGTTGCTGCTTTTTTCCTGATTTCTTCCTGTTTTCATCTCCACTTTCAACTTTAGTCTGGCTAACTTTGGTCATCTTTGTGGATCAAGTTACCTTCTTCTGAAAGCTGTCCCTGATTACCACTCACCTCCTACTCTACACCCAGTACCCCTTCCATGAATTCCTATATGCTGTCATGTTTCCTTTTACTGAAGCAGTGAGTACAGGGTAGTATAATCACTTCTGTCCCCCCAAAAGCGTTGAGGGTAGTGACAATAGCATATTCATTATCAAAGTCCCAGTTCCTGGCATGATGTATAGTGCATAGGAGATAATTAACCATGCTCAAGTGACTGAATATTTGACTTTCCCTTTAAGTCTCATCTCTGAATTGAATTCTTCTAACTTAACTCAACTTTTCTGATTTTTATTCCTTTATCTTTTTATTCTTTGGATAGCTCACTGTCTCACCTTAAGTGTCATTCCCCAGCTATAATTGTACGACATTTAAATTTTAAAATGTTTTTAAAACTGACTTTTGAGGCTGAGCATAGAAGCGTTCACCCTTGGTCCCAGTTGCTTGGGAGGTGGGGGTAAGGAGGACTATGTTTCAAGGCTAGCCTGGGCAGTTAATGTGAGACCGAAGCTGAAAAATGAAAGGCAAAAGGACTTAGGGTGTCACTCAAGTGGTAGAGCCCTGAGTTCAATCCCCAGTACTACAAAAAAAAAAAAAAAATTTTTTTTTTGGTAGCTTGGGTCACTGTGATCACACAGATAAGTAAAATACTGAATAAATGGAGTTACTAAGAAATTTCCATGATTCAACTTTTTTTTGTTTAAATTTTTTGTTGATGGAGATTGAACTCAGGGCATTGCATATGCTAAGCTCTACCATAGAGCTACACCATCAGCTTTACTTTTTTTTTTTTTTTTTTTGCTATACTGGGGCTTGAACACAGGGCCTACACCTTGAGCCACTCTATCAGCCCTTTTTTTGTGATGGGTGTTTTTGAGATGGGGTTTTGTGAACTATTTTCCTGGGCTGGCTTCGAACTATGATCCTCCTAATCTCTGCTTTCTGAGTTGCTAGGATTATAGGTGTGAGCCATCGGTGTTACTACAAATTTTTTTTTTTTAAACCAGACTTAAGTTGGTAGCCAGATCTAAATGAGCATAATGAATGCAATCAGTGTTTTCCTCTGTTACTCTCAAAGCATGAGTTGTTCTTTGCCTTAGGTAAGTCAGCTGTTTATTAAACTGAATTTATTAATCTACACAGTATTCCTAGGCCATAATTACTGAATTCAAATCCTATTGTGTTAAGCAAGACCTTTCCTAAACAACTTAGCTTTCTTCTTCTGTAAAATTAGAGGATGATTAAACTTTTCATCTATCTATGTCTGGTGTTAATAAGATCGATGAAACTGTTTTAAGGAATCATGTTTTGTTTCTTAGATGAAAGGCATTTTGTTAGTGCAATGAATCAAGATGTTATTATTTCACATTTAGCACATAATAGATTATCTGTGGAGAAACATTCCCTAAGCCTTGGTTGGGTTGTGTCTTTACAGTAATCGGAACTATCATATGAGAGTTGTTTATGGGACTACTAGGATGAAGTATTTATCAGAATAAAAGTGTGTCTTGTGTCTTTGCGCATGCACGCACATACATGCACTTAATAAGGAGATAGACTGACTTTGAGCAAAGTCTGGACCTTAGTTTCCTCTATAAATTAGTGAAAATAACTATACTTAAAGGGTATAGTTACTGTGAGGATTAAATTAGAATAATAAGTAATACCATTTAGCATAGTGCCTGTCATTGGTTATCACTGAATAAAGGATACCTGCTGTTATTTTGTTAACTGGATTGATTCTAGGCAGTTTTTTGTTTGTTTGCCTTTTTTTTTTTTTTTTGTGAGAGGGACTGGGGTTTGAACTTGGCTTTGTGCTTGCAAAACAAGGGCTGGACTGCTTGAGCCACCTCTTCAGTCCATTTTGCTCTGGTTAATTTGAGATGGGTCTCTTGAAATACTTGCCTGGGCTGGCCTTGAACCACGATCCCCCTGATCTCAGCCTCCCAAATAACTAGGATTGCAGGCCTGAGCCACTGGTGCCCAGCAGGCAGTCGTTTATTTTTTTGATATATGCTGCAGTGTTAATTCCATTCGACATTTTCTTTGTTGTTCTAGTGTTTGAACTCAGTGTGTTGCTCTTATAGGCAGGTATTCTACCATTTAAGACCTGCCCCCAAACCTCTATAAAATTCTTAACTTCTGGGCTGGGATGTAGGTCAGTGGTACAGCACTTGCCTAGCATGCGTGAGGCACTGGGTTCAATCCCAGCACCAAAAAAGAAAAGACAAAAACAAAACAAAACAAAAATCATCCCCTTTAGTGCATGTATTCTTGGGCTTGGGAGGACTTCATTAGTCTAGAATCTTTAGGTGAGGGCACATCTTATAAAATCTAGGAGACTGGGAACTGAGGATCAGTTTTTGTTTTGGATCATAGCAAAATTTTACAAAGTATTTAGAAAGAAGAATAATTATAATTTGAAATTAAAGTGTGATCAGATTTGAAGTCTGAGATTTTCTCTGATATAACATATTAAAGGTACCAAAAGGAAAACAAGTGTATTAAGTCCTGATTTATTTTGCTTTCTGATGTTTTTATGACCTGTATGTCATAAAAACCCCTATATAATAACAACCAGAGTAGTGACCACTTAGCACATGCCAAGTCACCGGGCTGGGCTCAGAGGTGGAAAGGAAATGGAATTTGTAAAATGAGATGTGGTCTGTGTTTTCAGGGAGGGTGTGGTGGGAAGAAAGAAATCTACAGAGGTAACTAACAGACGAGAGAAAATTAGTCTGATAGGTAGAGCATAAGAGACAAGCTTTACATTTCAAAGAGAACATTAGTCAGGGAGAGGTGCTGTTTTATACTCCACTTTACTAACAGTGTAGATGTGTATAGGTTTAACTCATTATAAAGCTAAAGGGCTTCAGAGCTTCCTTTGGCCACTCTGTCTTTTTTTGTTGTTTTTATATTTACTTACATGCGTATACATTGTTTGGGTTGGGACACCTCCCCCACCCCCTGATCCACAAGAACCTTCACTGAACTTGTCCACATAAATTTTTATATAGTGTATTATAAAGAGGTAAGGTTCAGGGGGCTGGTGCAGTGGCTGAAGTGGTACAGTGCTGCCTAGCAAGTATGAGGCTCTGAGTTCAAACCCCAGTATCACAAAAAAAAAAATAAAAGAGAGATAAGGTTTGGGCTGGCACAATGACTCAAGTGATAGGGCCTCTGCCTAGCACCACCAAAACCAAACCAAAACAAAAAGATATAAGGTTCATTTTGGTTCACTGTTTTGTTCACAGCTTTTAGTACATGGCCCCACTGCTTTTGGCCCAGTGGTGAGGCAGTACCTCCTAATGCCACCAAGCTGGGGACTAAGCCTTTGGGGTACATTCATGACCCAAACTACAACACACAGCCATGTATGTTCAGAGAACATTTTAATATTTGGTAAATAACACTGGAAGCTGAGTCTCATAGGAAAGAGAAGGCAGCTACGTTTATTATTATTATTTTTTGGCAGTACTGGGGATTGAACTCACAGCCTTGCCCTTTTTAGGCAGGCACTGTATCACTTGGGCCACTTCACCAGCCCTTTTTGCATTGGTTATTTTTGAGATAAGGTCTCATTTTATGTCCTGGCTGTCATAGACCTTGATCCTGCTATTTATGTTTCCTCACATAGCTGGGAGGAGAGGCACACACCACACTATATCCAGCCATTGGTTAAGGTGAGGTCTCTTAACTTTTGCCTGGGAGATCCATTAGATCTCCGACTCCTGAATAGCTAGGATTATAGGCTTCAGGCATTGCACCTGGCCATTATTTATTTTATTAATAAAAATATAACCTCTGTGACAAGACACAGTACTTTTTATGTTTAATTTTCCTGATTATCCTATAAGTTGATATTTCCCCCATTTTACAGAAGGAGAAAATTGAAGTTCAGAGAGGATAAATAACCTATCCCAGATCATACAACTGTTGAGAACCAGGTTTCATTTCATACATTTGCCTCCCAGGAAGCTGAATTGTAGCTCTTAACTACAATTAAGATACTAGCACTTACATCATCTGTTTTATCTTTTGAAGATCTGTAATATTTGTTGGCTATGAACATTCTGAGAATATATTTATTAAATACTTTGTGCTTAGCAGATGAATGTCCATATATAGTTGCCACTGAAAGACTGCCCAAAGCCAGAAGAACTAATGGCCAAAAGGCCACTGTAGCAGCCCATCAGATATTGTAGTTTCTTCTTGCCTGTTGGCTTGTTTACTGCTGTAGATTACTAACAGACTTTCAGCCTCCTCATTGACACCTTTGGGATCTGGCAAGTTAAAAACAAACATACAGGGAAGAGTGTAGTCCATGACTACACCTAAAAGTAAAGGTATATTTTAATCTGGAATTTTCAGTGATGTTCCAAGGTGTTGGTGATCTCACCACTAAAAAATGTCTTTTCCTTTCAGCTTAAAGAAGTCTTCTGCTGAACTAAAAAAAATATTAGCCAATGGCCAGGTAAGTATTATTGCATATTAAGATTTTCACTTATTATTGTCCAGTTTTTTAATCTATAAACTTACAAAACAATACAGTATATATTTCTTCTTGTCATAAATGAATAACAAGACTTAATTTGATTGGCAGAACAATTTACAACACATTTTTCAAAGTGTGCTAATGGGTTTCACTCCTAGCAGATTGCAGTCCTATGCCCACACCCTGCTGTCATCTCAGTTTAAAAAAAGTTAATCAGTTCTGAACAAGTATGTCAACTCATGAGTTGTTGAAATGGCCCTGCTTTCTGAAGCCAGGGTTTCTTTCATTATCTTTGGGGACAAAAGGAAAAGCTGTTACTTTCTTACCTTAGCTCCTCCTTTTGTCCTGAAACTAATGCAGGCTTTATAGGGGAACTGAGGAACAGCAGACCTTTGAGATAAAATCCCTGGGCTTCAGGAGACCTTGGCTTGCCTAGTCGATAGGTATCTGAAGCCAAATGACCTAACTCAGCCAGTAAGGGACAAACAGGCCTGCAGGCTAGTTATTTCTCACTAATTTTGATTCAAGTAAATGGACACATCTGAAATAGTATAGTGCCTTTAAACATACACTGGTAAATTAAGCTACCTACAGGGTCCTCAATTCCTCAATAGCAACATAAATGCGTTTTAATGTTTGTTATAGTGGAAGCCCTTTGATAGCCTTGGAGGCAGGCGCCTGTCCATTGCGATCAAGCCTGCCTATTAGACTCTATTGACTGAGACATCTGTGTCACTGCAAATAAAAGACTCTTATTGATTTTCTTAACTGCTGTTCACTTCCCGTCCATGTTTCGAAGGCTGAAATCTTAATTATCTCAGATGCTTATTCAGTGCCTTCACATTCTGACCTCTCCAAGCCTCATTGACATTTCATGAATCAAGTACTTGTAGTGGAGCATGTCAAGAAGACAAAGCTGGGTCCTTATGCTTGTCCTTTAATATCACCTGTAACATTGTGGCCTAATAGATATGCGTGCCTTAATGGCGACTTTTCTGGTAGTGCTTCCAGAAGCTCACGTACTTAGCACAGTCTCTTGAATACAGTTAGGAAAGGTAAAGCCGATCTGGCTCTGATGGCTGATTATCATCCAGTTGTGTGAACTTTAATCCTTAGCTATTCTGCATAAGAGAATCTATTAATGTTATATGTATGTACAAACTTGGTTGTTTCATCTTGTTAATAATTGTAATTTATGTCACTTGCATTCTTCAGCTGGAAAATATATTTCAAAATTGACGTAAATTAAGAAGCTTTAACTAAATTTGTTTAACCCAGGCAATGGAAAATAATCTGTCATAGATTCCTCCTTCAAAAATGAAAAACTACTTATTTCTACTACAAAAAAACAAGCATTCTGCAATATTCCAATGTTTTGATAACAAGTCTAGTACCACAGATATCTTAGTGGGCTCAGTTATGAGGTTCTGTGTGGTGGGAGCTTGTCATGGCACTGATTTTTGACACCTAAAAATTGTTTATTGCTTTCCCTTAGGAGTGTGCTAATCCCACATTAAACAGTATGGCATTTTCTTTCTTTTAAGGATAAACTCTTCTTATATGTATTTCACTCAAAACAAAACAAAAAAAGACCCTTCCACACCTTTGGAAGCTTTGAAAATAACTCCTTGTTCTGATTCCTTCATTGTTGCTATAGTGGCAAGAGAGACTGTATTGCAGTGAGATAATGTACATAGGGTGGGCATCAGTAAATACCTGGGTTGAACCACTGATACCACTTGATGTGGAAGATGTAAGTCACATTTAACGATACTTTAACACTGAGCATAGTTTTTTTATTTTAGTGCTTTATGCTCTCAAGCATTAATAATGATTTGCTTTTCCACTAGCCTCCACTTAGATTTAATAAGGAATTCATATTAATCTTTAAAAGAAAGGGACATGATTCTTCAAGATAATCAAATATTGACAGGTTAGAAATAGCTTTCTGCCTGGGTTCATTGATATAGGTTATGTGATATAAATATTTATTTCTTTTCTGTCACTCAGAGTAAATGCCACCAATTGATTCAGCATTGATATAGTGTCAACAGTTCATAAGAAACATTTGACTGGCTTGTGTTTTCCGATTAGTCTCTGCTCTATAAAGTGGGATTTACTAAATCTCTCCAATTGTCTGCTCATAGAGTGTGACTGCTTTCTGAAACTATTATTGCTTCGATTTGTGAAGCAAAGGTCTGGTGATAGGACTAGTTTCTGTCAGACCTTTATATATAAAATAAGGATTAATTGAGCATTTTTATTTTAATGATTTATAAGTGATAGACACTAATTCTTCTTAACACAGGCAGACAATAAACAACATTTTCTTTGCTAATCCATAATTGAATTCCATTTCATTTTTGACCATTAACTTCATTAACATGTTAAATCAGGTACCTTTTTAAAAGTTTAACATTTAGTCTTTGGAGTGGAGCCATTGTTTTCCTGTTTTTACTTTATGATGGAAGATTCCATTCTTCCAGCTTAAAAAATAAATCAAAAGCTATTTTTGGCATGTTTTATTGAGAGCTGTAAATCAGCCTGCCTGCTGTATTTTCTGAGTGAGTTTTCCCCACTCAGGTCCAGTGTGGCATCATCTGTTTAATGTTGGTCCTGGGTTTGAAACTGATTAGAAAGACCCCCAAAGGGTCAATTGAAAGGATTTAAAAGGTGCGTGGTTGCTCCAGGAATGTGTGATTTTGACCTTTGAATCTCTAAAGTTGTTTTTTCTTGTTTTTGTTTTATTTTGTTTTTTAGATTTTGTACAAGAGAGTGACAGTGTTTTCCTATTTCTGATAAATCAAGTGTAAATATACTGTGAAGTCACAGATCTAAACTAATTGTGGCTTCGCTACATCTTTGTTACTCTGAGAACTTCAGATACCTTTAGAGAAACTCTGAGCTTAGAAAAAAAAAATGGGGCGAACTGGCCTCTATTGTATAACCCTTTGAAGACTGACTCATCACAAGTAAATAAAACTTAGATTCTGTTGACTCATCTTAGATCCCATTTGAAGGCTGAAGCATGAAAGTCAGAACTATACAATGCCCTCCTTTACTTACACAGACACAACTTGACTACCATGGGTGGATGGCTGCTGTCTCTGTTTCTTTCCTGGTCCCTGAGTCTCTTTCAGCCTGAGCAGAGACCCTCTGGGTCATTTCTCCCAGGTCATGTGCCTTCTTGACTGTTGATATATAGTAATAATAATTATAACCCCCATGGCTTTTTCTTCTCCTCTCCCTCACATCTATGATTTTGCTGCTTAATTGCTTTTTTAGTTAAAACAAGGAAACGGAACTACATTTTAAAGCTGTTTGGCATCTTCATTGAATTAAAAAAAAAAAACCTTTATTTCATATCTTTTCAACTTATGGAGCTCTTTGATTTTTAAAATATTTTCCTTATTAAAAAAACCACACACATCAAAGTTAATGAAATTGCTCTTTACTTTTGAGTGCTTTTCAGCCAATGGTTTGCCTGTGGCCATTGATAGAGAGGAACTGCACCTGGGACAAACTGTTAATATGTAACATTGAATTGGAGTCTGCTGAAAGTCTGAGTTCTAGCCTAGATTAGTTGTTATTGACTAGTTATATAGTCTAAATGAATTGGGCTAAATGGTCTTAAGATGCTATAAAACTCTGATTTTTATGGTGCTTGATCCCATCTATAATATTTAAATGTAGTACTCTGTAGGCATATAAATCCCACATTCATTGCATGATAAGCACTGTTTCTGTGCTTCATTTTGAAAAGTTGAGTTAATATGATCATCTAGCTAAAAATGCAAAATGTTATTAGCTGTTTGTTAATCTCTTTAATGATTCTTTCATAGTTAAGAGCAGTTAACCCACTTTGATCAGATATTAAATTCTCTCTCTTTGTAATCAGTTCATGAGTTTTGCTCTAATAGTTTTCTTTTTAAAATTGTTTTAGCTGGAAGTGGTGGTATGTACCTGTGGTCCCAGCACTCTAGAGGCAAGAAGATCTCGAGTCCAGGAGTTTGAGATTAGTGCAGGCAACATAGTAAGACCCTGTCTCAAATCCCCAAAAACAAACAAATGCACACTTTTTCAAACATGAGAGAAATAATTATATATTGTAAAAATTAGCAAATCTACATAAGCCAGTAGAAAAATAATTTGCTTTTTAAAAAAACATGGAATGCTTCGTGAATTTATGTGTCACCCTTGTGTGGAGTCCATGCTAATCTTCCCTGTATCATTCTAATTTCTGTATATGTGCTGCTGAAGTGAGCACAGAATCTAATATTTTTTAATATTGCAAAACTATCAGTCATTTCATAAGCCAGATAAAGGTCTATATAACTTTAAACATGATAGACTCTTTAATCATTTTAATAGATACTGTCTTTTTAAGCAACATGCTTTTAGAACTTGTTCTTCAAAACCATTTTTATCTTTATGTAACTTGCATTATCTGAGGGATTCCATATTTGTCTTTATTTTTTCCATTGGTGAATTTGTTTACACGGTGCTTAGTGCTCATGTGCAGACACATGCAACAAAAAACATTTTTCTTCCACTTTTTACCTCACCAACCTCCTCTACCTGGGGAGTTGGTCTCAGCCTGTTCTCTGGGATGTATGCCTAACACTCCTGATCAGGCTAATCACTTCTTTTCTTGTGGGTTTTAACAGTAAAAAGACTATGGTGTTGGGATTGTAATGGGTATAGGTGTTCAGACACATTCACACTTACCCCTTTGCCTATAGAGTGGTGGAGAAAAGTTGATCTCAGACTGAATCCCGTTTAAGACTCAAGACACTATATGTACTATCTACCTACATCCTGTCTTTCCTTATTTCCCAGGGACACTGATTCAGAGTTTGTGGACTTGCATAAGTGAAAAAAAATTTTTTCTCTCTTTTAGAAATTTACTTCAAGCCACAATGGAAATGTAGCTTGTTAGGCAAGGTAATGGTACAATTTAGGTTCTTGGAGGCATGTTTGGACTACCTAGAGAAATGCTCTTAGGGATTTGGACTAATAGCCTATACATGCCTGCCAATAAATACTGCTGTTTGTGTATCCTTCATTGATGAAAGTAAACCAAATAGCAGTTCTGCCAGTTTAGTATCCCAAGCAACTTTCTGTTCTGCTTTCCTTTATGCTGTTTAAAATTTTTTCAATACAGAGTAATGTGTGGTTTTCTTTACTTTCCTTCATTCCACATATATTATGCCAGCTAAAATATTTTTTTCTGTATCACTAGTGTAAAAGTAGTAAAGAACAGAATCCTCAAATAGGAAAGTAATTGCCAATTTTTCTGACTTGTCTCATGTTTTCACTGACCCTAAGTATAGTAATTAGCTGATTGTAAATTGTATCAATCAGGTTGTGCTACAATTAAATGGGGTGCTGAATTGGCCTTTATACATAAATCTGTTGATATTCTTTTAGGGATTGGCAAAATGGCTTAGAAAAGAAGCTGTTTCTGTTACCTGTACTGCACTCCTAATTATCACAGCTCTCTGAAGCTTCAACTTCAGGAATGTATAAGAGAAAAATATTTCCCTTGATAAATGAAGCTTTGCTTTATTCAATTGGTACAAGTTTAGAGTAGAGCAAATATTTAAAGCTTTACTGTAATGGTCTGAGAGCAAACTATTTTTTTCAAGTGATACTGAATTAAAAACTCCATCCATTTTCTGCCTGTGCAAGGCAATGCAATTCCCTGGAAATTGATTTTTTTTTTTCCAGGGCTTACTTTGACTTTTCCCAAGCTTTAGCTATACGGGAAATAACACCTTTATTAAATCTACTTTGTGAATAAAGTTGGCAGTTAATTTTTAAGCAACCAGACCAGTACATAGAAAAATTACTGAATATATCAAATAGTCTCGGGTTTTTTTTTTTTTCTTCTTTTTTGGTGGGGCTGGGGTTTGAACTCAGGGCTTCGTGCTTGCAAAGCAGGTGCTTTACCACTGAGCCGTTTCTCTAGTCCAAGCCTGGCTAGTCTTAAAGTCATTTAATAAATGATTACTTAGGAAGTTCCTTAAAACTCTAAAATGTTGTTTTGTGGGTGCCAACATAATTCATCTGCTATTTATAATGCAAATGAGTGTAATATTTTTGGTATAGTAAGTTTTATAGAACCTTACACATGCATGATGTTTTGTACATTAAATTATAATAACAAACTTAGTGCATAAAAATTACATGCCTGTATGTTTTCCCATTATGCATTATGTTTGACTGCATGTGCATTTTAAAGTGCATTGATTTGACACTTTTCCATCAGCATAATATAATTTCTACCCAGTTACTGCTTTATACTCATTCATCATTTGCAAAGAAAAGCTCTTTCTACTCTAGGAAAATCACAAACATTTAGCTAGTTTGCTAAATGTTAATTAGAGGGTCACCTGAGGAGTTTTCAGGGGCTGATTTATTTACAGATCATGCATTAGATTACTGGCTGTGGAATTGTGTGTATTGTCTTCTCAAGTTTGACTTTGGTCATGTGCAGGGCTGCATTGGTTATATGCAGTACTGAAGACTCTTTTCCTATCTGTATCTCTGACCTGACCCTTTTGAGCAATGTTATATCATTCCATTTTGACACCTTTTATCAAACTTTAATGAAATGACCCAGGCAAACAAATTGTCATTAAACTTTCCATCACTTTGTCCCTTGGTATCGTCTTTTATAAATTGGACAGCAAATGTTGTATTGATCTTCTCGTTCTTGCAGCTGAACTTGAAATGACCCAGACTGCTTGTTGTTTATGGCCCAGAGTTGCTTTTCCTTGACATTTCCATCCACAGCATGACACCTTTTTTGTTTTTTTTCTTTCTTTCTTGTGGAGATGAATGAACAAGACATACGGTATCGAGACACCCTTGGTCATGGCAACGGAGGCACAGTCTACAAGTGAGTAGTCAATTTTGTTTAAACTTTCTATCCACTTTTGCCAAGTGATGGGTATCCAAGTACTCCTTGCAAAGATTTTTATATGACTACTAGCACTTCAATTTTATTTCCACATTTGACTCCAAAATTCTGTAATGTATCTTCTATTTTCTTAGGAATTGCCTAAAAGTGCATTTATATTGCACCGCATCTCTCCTGGGTAAGAATAGTCCCCCATTAACAAGTGTACCTTTAACTGGCCTGAAGTTTAATGCATATTTTCCTTCATTCTTTAACACCATCATTTAAAAAAAAAACCTTGCTAGCACTTTATAGCTGGTCCCTTGCCTATTTACAGTTATGCCCAGTGGAAGCCAAACCTTATAAATACCTTTGCTTTGCCCTGTGTTGACACTGTAAGTTATTAAAAAGCCTTCCTCCTGTTGAATTTCCTTCTCTTCCATACTGTACTCCCCTGAGAGAATTTCTACACACCTTGATGAATATGTTAAGTTATAAAACTCTCCCAAATTCCAGTTGCAGTGATCTTACCCTAAAGGGGTGTTCATTTCCATATTAAAAAATGCTAACCATAAAAAATAGTTCTCTCGACAGGGAAGTCTTTCTCATGCAGTAGTGCAAAGTTTAAACTACATAATGTAATATCTGGTACTTAATAGTCTGCAATGGTGTATGAAAAATATTCCACTAGGAATTAAAAGATCTATACTCTGTAAGAAAGCCCTGAGGGAACAATAAAGTATCCCTCCAGAGAGCTGTTTTCCATTTTTGCACTACCCCTGCATCACATTATGATTGTGTTTCTACCTTAGATAGTTTCACATTGATATTAATAATAAATTAAGAATTATAAATACAATAATTACTTTCTAGTTGGTTACTTACGTTCTTAGGGTTTTATATACTAATTAACCACATGAATACAGATAAAAATTGCCCTGTTGTCTTATGACCATGAAGAGTCACATCTTAAAATGCCAGAGCATCCCTCATGCACTGATACAGTCTTGGTTTAGAATTCTGTTTCTCAGGATTAGAAACTCCTTCAGCGTCATCTGATCCAGCCACCCATCCAGGACTTCAGTCTCCTCTTCAGGTACAGCTAGGATATAAGTCCTTTCTCCCAAGTATAGATCTTGAAGAACTTATGTTCACATACTTGGATTATTTTTTTCCTGCAGATGACTTGAGTATTGTCAATAGTTGAATTCAGAGAAATTCAACTATTTGAATAATAATAAGAAAGCTTATTTCTTACACTGTGCTTGAACCTTGCCCTTAAAATGTTAGAGGCCTAATGTGTCTAGTGAGTTTTGGGGCTGCTTTTCTTCTTCCCTAAAGCAAACTAGCATTCCTTCCAATGTAGCCTCAGCCCTATACAAATGGTATCTCTACATCTTAGTCTTCTCCTCCTTACCCTTATTTGACGTGATTTTTCACTTTGTTCTGAAAGTTCCTAGAAAGGATATAAGAAGAAAAACTGAAATAAGCATGTTCCAGTTTGCTTCACTTGAGTTTCATGGAAGGGGCAGTGTTCAAAGTTTTTAATGCTTATATGCTGGTAGACAAATATAATAGATATAATACAATATGATATATAAGACAAATATAATAAAAATAAATTAATAAAACCAGAAAGATTTCTGGCAATTCTCTGGATGCTTTTTATTGCCTTCAAGTGAAATTTAAAAACATTTCCGTAGGCTCCTAACTTACCTGTCAATTATTGAACCAATAATTATTTAGCATTGTTTATCCTGGTTTATTCTAGAATTGAAGAAACATAAGACCACCAAAGCCCAGCAGATAATTTTTATTAGATATTATATCCTTGGTGTTAGAAATTGCACCTAGTATATGCTGTGTTCTACCATTGAGCTACTCTCCCAGCATAGATGTTAAATTTTTAATTCTCAGTCAAATTAAAACATAGGTATGAAAGAAGGGGGTGGGGAGTATAGTGAGAAATGAAAATAGCATGCCCATCCCCAAATTACACCATGAAATTGTGTTTTAAAAATTATTTTTAATTGCGTGAAATGCACATAAGATTTACTGTAACCATTTTCAGTTGTACAGTTGAGTACATTCACATTGTTGCGAAACTGTTAACACCATCTATCTATAGAACTTTTTTCATCTTGTGTAACTCTCCCCGTTAAACATTAACTCCCTATTTATCCCTTTTATTATTGTGTTTAGGTAAGAAGCATGGCTAGAACTTCTTTCTTTAGGACCACAGTGTCCAAGGGAGCATTTTCCCACATGTCCTTAACACAAACTCTTTAATTTAGTAGCATGCTGTAGTGATATTAGCATCTTATACTAAGAGTTCATGTAACTATCGTTGCTAATGCTCACATGAGTGGTTATTAGGTTAATATATTTGGACAGTGGTTGCTAATGGTAGGTGAATGGCACGATCATGATCATTTTAGTACTTAATAATAGATTTCTCATAAAGAAATTTTATTTATCCCATTGCATGATTCTGTTCTTTGGTTTTGCTTTGTTTTATTTTATTTTATTTTTTTGAAGTTGGGTTTTGCTATGTTGCCCAGGCTGGCCTTGACATGGGCTAAAGTTATCCTTCACCTATGTGATTCTTTAGGGGAAAGAGTATGAAGACCTCTAATTACATAACCACTTGTCATTGATCATTGGGTTTCATTTCTGCCTGGACTTTTTTGTGCTGCTATTCTTATATTCCTGGGTTTTAGTTTAACACAAAGCACTGTTAATGATCATCAAGAAATGAGAATCTGCTTCACTAAAGTCTTTATGAAACACTGATGTGTTACGATCAGATTTCTCCTGCAGTAAGTTTACCTTAATGGTGTTGACTATAAAAATTGGGGCTTTCAAATAAAATGATTACATTAGAAGCCATTCTACATAAACTAGATGAAGAAAATACTGGAAAATCCATCATTGCTAACAAAACTGCCTAATGGGCCTGTTTAATTTTTGCTTACAAGGTGTAATTAATAAGTGAAAAGCAAATTTTTAATATTTCAGTCTTATTCATACCCTTAATGGAATATTGTGAATTTCAAAGGATATGATATATGTAACTGTGATGTATATCATTTAATAGTGGGTACATTCTCATTGTTTAAGCCTAGGTATTTTCTGTAGTTATGCAGTATGAAATCTTGCCCCCAGCTGTTTAAACCAAATGGTAGTGTGGATTCTCTGTGCTGTTCTGTTCTGAACTATTCTGTTATGATAGCGACCTCTGCAGGTGATTTTAAGTTGATATTTCTTGGGTTACTAATTTGTGGTATGTGAATCATAAAGGAAGTATCTTAACAGTATAGCCCAAGCTTAGCTAGGAGGAGGTTTATGAAAAGGAAATGGGTACATTTTTATTATTACTCTATGTCCCAAAGTGCTACAAGTTCTAAAAACAAACAACAAACTCAATGACATGAGTTCTCTTCTTCTCTAACAGAGTCACAATGAACTTAAAAAACTTTGAGAAAGTAGAAAACAGTCTGTGTTGAGTTAAACTCTGAGTTTGAATATTGCATCTGCCACTAGTTTTTGTGTGATCTTGGGCAATGTCTCTTGCTTCTGTTTTTCTGTCTGTAAAACATGTATAATTAATGGTGTCTATCTTATCATGTTGTCGGGAGATTGATTGAGATAATCCATAAAAGGTTGTGACTGACACTAATTAAATGTTAGCTATTGGTACTGATAGTACAAGTTCTGGAATTTTGTGTGTGTGTGTGTGTGTGTGTGTGTGTGTGTGTTACTGGGGGTTTGAAATCATGCCTTGAGCTTGCACTTGAGCCACTTGGCCAATCCAAGAAAAACTGTTTAAACCCTATATTTTCTACCCTTGGTTGGCCATGGGACTCTTTTTGAGGAATAGCTATAAGCATCTCAGAATTGTAGCTGAATTAACTTGGAGAAATTCCATGTTTATACTAGGATATATATTATAATTCTTTACTATCATCTATTCTTTAGTTGTGAAATAAATGATAAAATGTATTATTGTATCTTCTGTATTATTTTACATACAATGATTTTCTAAAAGCTTCAAAGTATTTTTTCTTTTATGGTATGTTTTCAAATTGTTATAGGATAGCTGGTATAACATAAAAGCCAATTGTATACTGGAAAGTTTGAGGGCTTGCAGTGTATGGTCATTCATATACAGAACTGTATATACCATCTCTTTTCTTTTTGCTCTGCTTTTCCTGTAGGCAGTATTGCTTTTCAAGGTTAAGTGCAGTCCATCATGTTTCCTCATGTTCTCAGTACAGTCTTTAAGGATTGAGTTGATGCTTGATGTGTGTACAGTGAAATGAGAATGAGGCAAGTGGAGGTGTTTTTAGTAAGGCTGTTTAATTAGATCCTCAATATATTTAGCAAGTTAGAACATAATTGTTTTAGATTATTCACCTAGAAGAATAGGGATTTCCAAACTAAGGACTTACTTGAATGATTTGTTTTCTTGCAAATATTAAAACTTTAATTGATTAGCATTCACTGGCCCAGGATACTGTTCTCTGTTCTTAGGTAGCACCACATTGAAATTAAAGCAATTATCAGGCCCAGTTATTTTGGAAACTTCTATGATTCCAAAGCCAATCACTCATATAAAGCTCCCTTAGCACTTTGATGGAGCTGCTCAAGCTTTGGGTTCAGAAATGAAGTAACATTTAATTCCTAGGATTAAATTTTGCTGTCAGTTAGTCAGTAATCACTAAGGATCTGTGTGTGTGTGTGTGTGTGTGTGTGTGTGTGTGTGTGTGTGTTTACCTAATGCAGATTATTCAAGCTAAGTCTCAAATTTGGTTCTGTATTCCAGTCTGTAGGTGTTTGAAGTCAATAGTGAACTTTCTACTTCTAGCTTCTTCCCATAGTACAGTGAAGAGTCTAGTCTGAACTTTGGGTAAAATTTTCTAGGATATAATGAGTAGCATATATGCTGCCTAAATAGTGGGTGGATATTATTTTATTTATTTATTTGGTATTGGGGATTG